AAGATGAATCTTCCTGAATCCAGACTTTGTGCTCCTAGCCCTAACCTAATTGCTCTGCCCAAAACACGTAGGTATAAAAGAGTGCTTTCTACCCCATTGTCTACTGACTTCAACTTTACCCCTCAGCCCATTTACCCAGAAAGGGAGAAAGAACTACCTGTTGTAGTTGTTGTTGATTCACTTGAGGTCCTCGGCGGGAGCTACCTTCTTCCTGCCCAGATTCCTCCTCAGCTTTTGCTCCGTCTTTTTCCTTGTTTAGTTTCTCTCGGATAACAGGCTCTCCCCGAAGTATGTGGCACAGGATGGCCAGCATGGATTCAGCCATCCGCCCACCATAAATCTTTACAGGCTTCCGGTTCCACAGGTTCTTTATGCAGTTGAAAGCCGCCTATAAGGAATGGATGTAACTAAGTGGCCTTTTTTCAGGGGCATTTTTCAAATTTAAAAAGACCTATACCTGAAGGAAGCTAGAAACTAGCTAGTAAGAGGGGGGAGATTTAGACTATTTCTAGTCTGTAAAGGTTTAAAAAGAACGGTCAAGGGTAAAGTTACTTCCCCTGTTTCTTTCCCCATCTGAATATTCCATTTGCAAGTTAACTTGTTACTATCTAATGTCACATTAAAAAATGTTCTAAATTACTATTAATTAGAGAAATGCAAATTAAAACAACTGTCAGTTACCACCTACACCTATCAAACTGACTAACATAAAAGGAAAGGAAAATGTTGGAGGGGATATAGGAAAAAATGACCCAACCATTCTGTAGATCAATTTGGAACTATTAACTAAAGGACTACAAATCTGTGCATACCCTTTGGTCCAACAATACTAATGCTTGGTCTGTATCCCAAAGACATACAAAAGGAAAAGGAACTTTATGCACAAAAATATTAATAGTAGTTCTTTTATTTGTGGCAAAGAATTGGAAATTGAGGGGATATCTATCAACTGGGGAACGACTGAACAAATTGTTGTATATAATTGTGATAGAATACTATTGTATAAGAAAGGTACAGGCAAATAATTTCAGAAAAATCTGGACTTACATCAACTGATGCCAAGTGAAATGAGTAGAATGAGAAAATTGTATATAGTAACAGCAATATTTTATAATGATTAACTGTGAATGACTTAGGGTGAAAAATGCTACCTATCTACAGAGAAGGAACTGATAGAGTCTGAAGGCAGACTGAAACATATCTTTTTAAAAATTTTCTTGCTTTTTTAAAAAAAGTTTGTGTTTTCTATCACAACATAACTAACACAGAAAAATGTTTTGCATGACTGTGTATGTATAAACATTATCAGACTGCTGGCCTTCTCAATGAAAGGGGAGGGAAGAAGAGAATTTGGAACTCAAAATTTTGAAAAAATAAATGTTAAAATTGTTTTTATACGTAATTTAGTAAAAGTAAATATTAAAGCCCTGAACCCTGAGTTCAAATCTGGCCTCAGAACAAACACCTGACACTAGCTACGTGACCTTGGGCAAGTCACTTAATCCCAACTGCCTTCAAAATTAACCCAGATTCTTTCTTTTAATGACAATACTCAGTAGCCTCTTCTCCTCTGAAATTACATAGATTATAGTTGTACCTTCCCCACCATTTTTATCATCCTGCTCTGTTTTCATCTTTTTTTCCCAACTGTTATCCTTATACTAGGAGCCTTCAATATCCATTTCACCAATATCCTAAATTTCTCCTCAGTCATACCCAGAGATCATTACACCCTATATACACCATTACTTTTTTTCCTGAAAAAAATAAAAATAAAAATAAAAAAATAAAAAAACACAATCCCTACAAAAGTAACAAAAAATCACAACACAAAACCTAAACAACACCACTTGACTACCATGTCACTATCCCCTATATCTCACTTTATTAAACCAATTCTTTACTCTCATAATAATCTCTAATCTCTCTATTCCTTAGTGTTTTTTCAGGCTAGTATCATGTTGACTTAATTCTTAAAAAATTTTATTCCACATTCTCCCCTTCTATTGAACTAATCTCCTTCATTATCATGAAGTGATATTATTATTACCATCACTGATATTTCCTTGACAAATCTCAGTCCTAGCACTCCGACCTCCTATACTCCTATTCATATGCTGCTAGAGCTAGTCACATAAATATATTTACAGGATACCCTAAAAAATTTATGTTATTTAACTTCAATAAGGGCCTTATTAAGCAATTACATTATCACTCCCTGTTTTACTCCCTACAACTGCTACTCTCTAACTTCTTGTTTTAACATTGATCCATGCTCTACTCTTCTAAGCTATGGCTCTCATACCTTTTAAAGAGGAAATTATGAATTCCCTTTTCCTCTTTTCTTCATCTCAAGACTCTACTCTTTGCTTTCTAAAGCCTGCCCATCTAATACCTCCCTTCCATTCTTTTATGCAGACTACTATCTTAAATATTTCCCTCTCAAATCTTCAATCGGTGGAAACCTACAGGTTACTTCCATATCTCCTTTAAATATGGACAAGCATTTCTAATCTCAAAAAAACAAACCTACCCACATAAACCAGAAGCATTTCTATATATTATTAATAAAACAAAAGCAAGACACAGAAAGAGAAATTCCTTTCAAATTTACTGAAGACAGAAATATTTGGAAGTCTACCCGCCAAAACAAACTCAGAAACTATATGAAAACAATCACAAAACACTTTTCATACAAAGAAAGTCAGATCTAAAATCACTGGAAATATATCAGTTGCACATGGGTAGGCTGAACTAATACAATAAAAATAACAATTAAACCTAAATTCATGTACTTATTCTATGCCACGGCAATCAAACCACCAAAAAATTATGTTATAGAGCTATAAAAAACAAACTAAACCAAAACAATAACAAAATTCATCTGAGAGAACAAAAGATCCAGAATCTCAAGAGAATTAATGAAAAGAAATGCCAGAGAAAGTGGCAAAGCTTTACAGACCTCAAATTGTATCATAAAGCAGCACTCATTAAAACTACTTGGTTCTCGCTAAGAAATGGAGTGGTGGATCAGTGGAATGGGTTAGGTATGCAAGACACAGCAGTCAATGATTAGTCATCTATTATGTGAGAAATCCAAAGACCTCAGCTTCTGGTATAATAAATTACTATTTGACAAGACTGTTGAGATCATATATTACCATACATATGTAAAATAATTTATAAAAATTGACAATTTCTTAATTGCTGAATGTACCAAAATTTAAGTGAGCCTCTGTGTTCAAGCAGGCTGAGGTAAAGTAAAGAGGTATACACAAAGAGTACTCTGAGTCTATCAACTGAATCAAAGAAACCTAACAGATCATACTGATTTTAGAATTATTTTTTCACTAATCCTTCACTCAATGAGACATTTTACTTATGTACCACAAGCAAAGTGAGAACAATAATAATGGATTAAATTTTTCTTTCTAAGTCCAGCATCTTAAGTTCTTTTATTTTTGTGGCATATTGGAAAGTGTTCAACGGTAAAACAAGTAGCTCATCCTTTGCCCCCTGCCATGAAGATCTTGTGTGTGTCTGCATTTTACATATAAATATATTTATATATACATGTTGATAACACTATACAAAGAAATGCACGCATTGCAATAAACAGACCTTATGCTTTATATACTTATATTTGTCCTTGTTTCTCCTTTAATAGAGGAGAATGTTTTGGTTTCTGCCTTTGTGGTCTGCAGTACTGATCTTGTCAGTCTCCACACAGAACAGAGTATTCCTATTCCTAAGTAAGGCTTAAGTAATGCCTATTGCTTACTTCAAAATCCTCTATTTTAGTGGAATCTCTTGTAGGAACATAAAACTCACCTTCTGAGTCACTACAAGGAAGCGGAGGGCACTAAACTGTGGATAGTTTTGACCCCCAGGCAGCTTAGAAGGGAGGGAGTGTGGTGACTCAAGTATAGTTGTTGGGTTCACCATTTTTTCTACCAACATAAGCCAAGCATCCAGAAACTCTCCTGTGCCATCAGGCAGGTCTGGATGTTCAAGTCCCTCAGATATGGGAATTTTGCCTCCCATTGAAAGAGCCCAATTGAAAGTCCTACAAGGGAAAAGAGAAAAAGTTATGAGACAAGAATGTCACTGAGACAAAAGGGGACATTATGGTGCCCGCAAATTCCTCCTTTCTTTTATTATCTCTTTGTGCCCATTCACTGTTCACAAACTTGACTCAAACTACAGTGCTTTGTAAAACTCAATTTGGAATTTTTCTTATTCAAATCAAGTGGCACATGTTCACACTGAAATTTTTAGATATTTTTCAATAGAAGTAGAGATTCCATGGGTGTTTTTTTGCGGGGAGAAAGTCCAAGTTCCGCCTCTAAAATACCAAGTGTACCATGTCTTTAGACACACTTGAATTCAAGTCAGGGGTTAAATTATTAAGTTAAGAAAGAATACCATCTTCTTGGCATGAAAGGATGGAACCAGGACACACTCAAAAGATTTTCTTTCAAAACCTGGAAAGACTTGTATGATCTGATGCTGAGAGAAGTGAGCAGAACCAGAAGAACATTGTACATGGTAACATTCATGCTGTGTGTTGATAAATTTTGATAGACTTATCTCTTCTCAGCGATATAAGGACGAAAGACATCTCTAAAGGCCTTGTTATGGAAAATGCTAGCCACATCCAAAGAAAGAACTATGGAGTTTGAACGCAGATCAAAGCAGACTATTTGCTCTTTCCTTTCCTTCTGTTTTGTTTCTTCTCGCTTGTTGTTCCTCCTATAGGTTCTACTTCTTTACAACATGATTAATGTGACCAGGAATGTACATGGAGAGCCTATAAGAGATTGTATGTTGTCTTGGGAAAGGAGAGGAAGAAAATTTAAAAATCAAAAGCCTGTGAAAGTGATAGCTGAAAACTAAAAAGAAATAAATTAAAAAAAAAAAAAAGATTTTCTTTCCATAAAAGAGTGCCTTGATGGCTTTGGATATTTCTCTTCCTCGAGAGCATGCCTTGTCACATGAGAAAGGACAAATTAAATGAAACATCCAATTCTCTGGGAAAAAACGTTGTAGTATATTGGGGTATTCTTACTCAAAAAGAGCACTGTGGCCACCAGAGCAGAGGAACTTCTGTAGCATAAGGTGATAAGGATATTTTCTCTCATCAAACAGCATTGGGGAAGTGAAGCCAACTGAACAGATGAAAAATGTCAGCCTGTAAAAGAAAAAGCAAAAATGGGTTAATTTTTACCAACTAATCACCATAACTATGAAATAAGATCACATGAACTGCTTTAGATCATTAAATAGCTACACATGAATATGGACTAATCTGTCTAATTTGAGGGGTAAAAGATGAGTTACATAAACTGTACTTTAAGACCTCAAAGGCCTTCTTCACCCAAATTTGTAGGATGTAGAGGCAAGATAAACAGTATGAAACAAGTATGGGGCGTAAAGCCAGAAACTTTAAAAATCTTCTTCTCTATGGAGGACAGAAAGAAGTCACAATTGAGGAACATTTTTTTAAAAACCAGAAAACATAAGGGATGGAAGGGACCTTTGGACTCTGCCTCTTACTGGAGAACTCAATGCACTAAATGTGCTTGCTTTGGGACATTTGGATACTGGAAATGGTGTGATGAAGAAAGATTATACTTGGCTTTGCTTACCTCTGTGCTTCTCTCAACAAAAATTCCCCTTCCTGTTTACTATGTGGTAAAGAACACAGAGTGTGGGAGTCTGGGAAGGTCTGGGCTTCAACACTTAATAGCTATGTCATGTGGCATGTCACTGAACTTTAATTTCCTCATCTGCAAAATGGGGATAATTGAGGTTCCCCAAGGTCAGATGACAAATTAGGAGCAGAAGACACAAACCTTTAGATTTAATTTAATTCCAAATCACAGGGTAACTTTATATTTCATTGTTATCAGCAATCTTTGTGACCAAAAATCTGACTTTACATAAAGTAATCCTCTTTCTTAATTTTGCTGTAAAAATGTAAAAGGTACAACACATACAACATATACACACACTACTAAGAGTGTTTTACCTGAATCTTGGTGTAGGTGTATATGGTGGGGGCTGCCAGGATAAGCCCTTAGTGAGTAGCTTGGTGAGAGCTGAGGCTGTTGACCGAGCGGCAGGTGTTGGTGCAGTAGTAGTGCTGGCTGAATGATGGGTCCTCCTCTGGCGTACAGGTGATCCCACACAGAGTTTAACAAGACGACCAAAAAGCTCAGCAAGAGCTCGGCCTAACCTGGAGGAGGCTAAATATTCAAAACATGATAGTCAGACTGGCTTAAAGTGAAAAAATTAAATCATCTGCCAATTTGTCCTTGGCTTGCCTTTAAAATGAACAATCATGTAAAAGGAAATTCTAAGACACAGCTCTCTGGAAATAAAATTGACTCTCTCCATCATAAGACTTTAGCAAAAGATGTGAGAAATGTTCTTCTATGGTTGACATAATGGTGTATACTGCATGTGCCTCATTTGATGACAGACACTAGGTAATAAATAAAAAACTCAGAGGAACAAATGCTCACAAATATGGATAATGAGAAAAAAACTAGGACGCAGGTCAACGTAATGAGCCACAGCTCATAAATGGGAATCCAGTAAAAAATCTAAATATAACTGGGACATTTCTTGGTTCCACATTCAAAGGAGCTCATTTTTTTGCTAATCAGAAGTTTCCTATCAGAACCCATACAAGATTTTCTTGGTGGGAACACAGTACTATAGTTTAATGAATAAAAAATTTATAAAAGTCACAAAGATATAAATATCCACCTAGAATGGTAGCTAGAATAAACTGTCCAGAGAATAAAAAAATCAAGAACAAGGACAAAATCCAAAATTTTCTTGTGGACAATAGCCCAAACATCATAAAATTTTTTCTATCTATAATGCCATCCTTAGGACTTATTAGAAATCAGAGGTTTTAAGTTCAACTTCCCTAAAAGAAACAGCATTCCTTTCTATAAAGCATGGAGCTTCTGCAAAAGAAGAGAAGGGAAAGCCAGGAACTCACTTGCATATGGGACTGGGCGTAGGGGGTGGGTAGTGAAATCACTTACCTGACAGCAAAGGCTTAATCTGTTTGATCCTTGCTGCCATGGCTGGTGTGATTTTGTATTTCCCTTTGGAGTCTGATGTATTAGGCTCATCGGTTTCCATAGGTGTCAGGGTGTCTCCACCCAGTCCAATGCCTTCCAAAAGACCCTGGGTGGAAGCCTCAATGATTCCTGTTGACCCTTCTGTTTCTCCTTCTAAGGATGCAAAAGAGAAGAATTGAGAGACTGGCATAAATAAAGGTTGTTGCCACATTAGGCCAGTCTTACTGGTTGCTTTGCAAGAAGCTGAAATTAGAGTTAACCCTCGGAGGATAGGATGACTGATCTGGTGGGGATACTCAGTTTGGCTCTAAATTTCTTGATAACAAAAAGTCTAACTGAAAACATATTTAGACTCTTTTTAGGGTTACCTGTTCTCTTGGCTCCCTGGGCTATCTTTTCCTCTCTTGGAATCAGCTTCTGCATGTCCACTTGACCAAAATCACACTCTGAGGGGAGGCTGCAAATGCATCAGCAATAGAGAAAAAGTATGTTTCCTTGAACACCACCTAGACAATGTTATCTCTTTTAACTGAGTCACCAATCTTTATTTTTTTCAGAGTCACCAACCTTGCCTACTATATCCATTCAAACAAAAAATATAGCACTCCCATGCCTCAAATCACTAAATGGATTAAATCAGTACTAGAGCAGAAGGGGATATATTATCTTTTCTATTTTCATTGCTTTTACCTGTTAGGGGTACACAGTGAAAGTAAGACTGTATTTTCCCAGACCAGGGAACAGTATAACTGGCTCAGCTTACTCAGGACACTGAGACCCAGCTGGGAGCCCCACTGATTCACTGAGATGGCACGGATTTCACTCTGTGAAGAAAGAAAACGGTGATAATTCCCCCTGAGTAGAAGAGTTTAGAGTAACTCTTATTACATTAGCTCTAGACTATATCATTCCCCTGAAAACAAGACTTCCTCATTCTAGGTGTGAACTCTGCAGATAAATGCTATCTACTACTGCTTTGCACTTTGTTACAAGAAGAGAGCTCTTAGACGTCCCCATAGGGACACAGTATTCTTCTGGACTAATAGCAACTGATTATACCTCTTAATATTCCCAGAGCCCCCTCAATTCTTCAGGACTTTCTTGCTACTGAATTTGTGAGGCTTTGAAACAGAAAATACACTGAGAAAGTGTTTCTAACTCAAAGCAATATTCAATGATTTCTTGAATTTCTTAAAATCCCTTAAAGGAGAAGTGGTATCCTCAACCAAAGATAATACTTTTATATAAACTCAATTTTCCTTGTAATTATTTAAGAGATACATACCTCTTATTCCACTAGAGAAGGCTTTTGGGGGTGAAAATTTACTCATGGGTTCAGGAGATTAGTCCCTACAGTTACTCTTACCTGGCCCACCCTGCAAGTATGAACAAACATCATGATATATGCATGAGCAGCTGTGAGTGCATGTATGAGGGGGGTGGCCTGGGCAGAAAGGGTGGCATCTGCAACACTGCTGGAACAAGCAAGCTCTCGAAGCAGCACTGATCCCCCAGGGGACTCAATTGGCCGATGCAGCAAATCCAAGGAGGAGAGGACAGAATCCAATTGGAGGAGTCCCTCTTGAAGGACTTTTGGTTCATGTGACAGAGTCTGCAATAAATCAAATGTTTTCAGGCTCTGTTTTCCAGGGTAATTTTTGCCTTCTACAGAAAAAATAACACTGCTTCTTTCCTCACTTCAGTGAGGAGCATAAACTTCACATGTCACACTGGAGTAATATTACAAGGTCTACTTGGTAATGGAATAACTTAATTAGAATTTATTTAACTAATTTAAGCAAATTCACATTGGATATAATCTGAAATAAGTGGCCCATCACAACGTTCTCTCTCGCTGTCTCCACAACCACAGAGACCATTCCAAGTTTATTTCTTTAATTCATTCTTCTCTTCCAGGAGAGGATACAAGTGTTTGTTCTTAATGTATGAGAATTAAGGTCAGAAGGACAGCAGCTTTAGATGGCTAATTACAAGCAATTTGTAAAACTGGTAACTGATATTAAGCAGATTTCTCTCTATTGTGCTTATACTGATCTGTATAAGTCAACATGGAAGAATCAATCAATCAAGAAAGACAAATCTCACTTTTCATTTTATTTTAAAATATCCAATTATACTTTCTTTTGATTTCAGCAATAGTCTGGGATGTCTCTGGGGCTTCTTTTCTAATATAGGTGATCAAAATGAGAAACTAGATTATTGCCCTACTTCTCACCAGTATAGATTTGCAGACACCTGCCACAGCCTGGCAGGCAGCTGATGTTGGAAAGTCGATAGGTAGATTGGGGAGGCCCAAAATGGTGACCAGGGGCAGTAGCCCCTTTTGGCTCACAAATTCCTGGCAATGGTCATCTGTTGTGTTGTTGCTTAGGATGGACTCCACAAATTTCATCTAGGAAAGAAAAAGTCAGACTAGAGTTGGCACAACTTACTTGCAACATTAAAGGAAGGCTTAGCTAAGGCCAAGCAAATGAAAGGGAAAGGATAAAAGCTGTCCTTTTTAAGGAGGCCAAACACAAGAAGTTCAGCAGTTTTAAACTGTCTGTGGTATCTTATCAAAACAATGACTCGATAGAGCCTCCATCATTTCCTCAAGTGGTCATCATTTGTGCTATTCTACAACCCTTTTCCTCAGCGACACTTAA